AGAATAAGTCAGTTCTTGTTGTGAGAAAGAAAAGGGCACTTAGAATGGACCAACTTCTTAGTTAATAAAAGTTAATGAAATTGTTATTTCAAAATTTGGTCCTTTGTGGCGTATGTCATCTGACGATCAGTCAGACACATCACATAAGGGTAAAAATATAGTCCTATTAGAGACTCAAATTTAACAAAAAATATTACAATATTATAAGTACAATAAGGTATTTTAACTGATTTGAAGAAATTAGTCCTATATTTATAAAACAGGCGATTGACCCTTTTATGTATGTAAGTGTGCCTGAGCCCGCGAAACTAATTAACCTGATTCTTGTTCCGTAACACTCGAAACAACGTAAAAATGCGCGTGCACACATGTGTTACGGTATGTCATGTAACATTACTTGTTATACAACTTGTCCTACCTGCATTTGAATGCGTTTGTTGATTATTTTTGTGTGAATGAAAATTGTGTGTATGTGTAGTATAATTTTTGGTCCTTTTGGTACTGTTCCTTGGTGTATTATGATTATTTTATTATACATTATATTTTTATTAATTGTGTTCTGGCTTCGTATCGTTTCTCTGCACTTCCCTATGGTCGACTGTCAGAGAATACCTTAATCGCCATTTACGGTTATCTTTTGGGTAGAACAAATAAATAAATATGTAATCATAATTTATATGAGCCTCATTGCTATTTAGTAAAAGACGATGGTGTTGTGATGTTGTCCGATAGAAGATAATGATATAATGCTCTGACCTCAAGTAACTTGGGATAAGGACTGGAAGATCAAGCGATTATTTGCATTGTTCTCACATATGCGTACAGTATTGGAATATGTATCAGAGACATTGTAGAACATACTTTTTTAAAAAGAGTAATGAATGGAATTTCTTGCTCCTTCTTCTCCATTCGAATCTACATTTTGGAATGAGCACCTAGCTTCACTGACGGACTGACTGACAGACTATTATTTATTTTGTATTTGTTGACGTTTCAAAATTACCAAATGATGATTTAATTGAAACAAATGCTTTGACATTGACTTTGATGATGATGGTCCTAATTGCCACACATTTAGTTCAATTGATTTTGGTTTCGTATAAAGTTTTCAAGATATTGTAACAAAAAGAATAACCCTTGTTATTCAATCCTTTTTTGAATAACCCTTCTTATTCAATAGCAGTAGCAGTTATGACAGTAATTAATAAGATTCCTCACAGACATACATACATAACATCACGCCTTTCATCCTTGAAGGGGTAGGCAGAGGTGCACATTATGCCACTGTACAATGTAACACCCACTTTTCACTATGTATGTTCTGAGTCCCATGTAATAGGGGGTGAGCGTATTGCCATATACCGGGCACAATTCCAGACTCCGTGCGACTGTATCTATTTACTTATTTAATACTTTTTTTGTAGCCTTCTTCAAGGCTTAAACAACAATAAATTACATGAGTTTATAGTAAGAATCTTCATTCGTTTTTTATGATATAAATCTTATCTCAGAAATATAATAGTGTTTGTTCAGTATAATTATAAATATATGGAATGTAATGTGTTATGTATGTGTCTGCATTTGTATGTAAATATACTTCCACTACAGATAAAAAGTAAATAATATTGTACTTTTATGACATCAATGTTGACGTCACTGTTTCTATGTCTATGCGCCATCTTATTATTCTTTTGTAAGGCTAAGAATCTAATTAATGTACTTGACTGTATATTGATTTTTTTAACCGGTGATCCTCATTAATGATTTTAACCTGGGGCCGGGTGTCGTCATGATATGACGTGTCAGCATAGTTATTATAATGCTTCTTAATCTCACTCAATCTCCCTTAAAACTTACTTAGAGTGACGTAGTATCAAAACTAACCCCTTACTTGTACTGTTAGGTGTCACTTAGGACTTTCTAGACGTTCCTTTAAGGAGAGGTTGAATTTAAGAGAATTTAGGAGGCCGGCTCGACCGGAGTGATACCACGGCCTCACAGAAAACTGACGAAAAACAACGCTTGCGTTGTGTTTCCGGAGGCCTAATTACCTCCCCCCACACTCTTCAATCTCCCCAATCCCTGATTCCCTAACAATCCTCAAATTCTTAATCCCCAATGTCCATGTGTGTCCTTGGGCGACGCCGATAGCTTACCATCAGGTGATTCGTCTGCTCGTTTACCGGCTTATCCCATAAAAAAGGTAGATGGAAACGGCAATTAGTTACATTGTCAGCTACTTAATTTAATCCAAGAGATAAGTGACTGATAAAGATTTATTTCTAACACGCTGAGTTCGGTTGATTAGCCCCAAGCTCCAAGGTTAATCGATCACCTTGACTGCAGTTGAACTTATACTACTTATTGTTATCTGTTAGATTATTTCTTGTGTTATTAAAATAAATTATACTTGGCAACAGATGGTAATAAATGGGACATGTTATAATTTTATATAGTATTACCTAACCTTAATTGTTTCCCTTATTCTTTTGCTTTTATTGGTACATAATAGTTTCTTGTTCGTTGTTCTCCATAGGAATCTACACCTTGGAATGAGCCAATAGTTTCATAACGTAACATAACATAACATCACGCCTTTTTATCCCCGAAAGGGTAGGCAGAGGTGCACATTACGGCACTTAATGCCACTGTACAATGTAACACTCACTTTTCACTATTTTTGTTATGAGTCCCAATAGCTTAATTTTTTCTTTTTTTGTTGACAATCGAAACTTCCTTCCTGGTCTAATTGAAATAAACTTTGCAATATTCTCCAATTTTCCACGCTTGACTTTGGGTTACAGATTACATTACTACCAACCTTATTTTCTCAAAATTAACTATGCAGATACATTTTTTAGTATCTAATTAATTATTATTTACCTTGATTTTTCTACTAGGTACTTATACTTAGATTGTATTGGTGTTTTGTCAACATAGTAATTATGAATCATTATTGCAGTTAATATTCACATGAGCAGAGTACTAACGACGGAATTTTAGTTATCGAAAGAGGTCGAGGTCAAATGACTCATTTGTGACCTTTAGCTTAGAATCTAGTCATTCTAGACTGATGTATCTTCATTCTGTTTAGAATAGACAAAATGTATGTTATCATAATATACGGAAGCAATTATCGATAATGATTTACTTCTCAAATTACGAAATTATAATTTACGTATTCGAGATTCAGTATGCGTGCAAGTTCGGTCCCATGGATACTTTATATATTCTCAATATAACAAGTAATGCATTATTAAAAATGCGCTGTTCTATTCCGTAAAAAAGAACATCGCATAGTTTAAAATTAAATTAATTCATTAATTGAATAGTCGTATTATTCAGTGTTTCAAGATGTCTAAGTGAGAGTTAAATCACCCTTTTTGACCGTTATACCATATTTAGGACTATAAAATCTGACTGCCTCGTTGGCCGAGTGGTCGCAAGGCAAGAGGTCTCGGGTTCGATACCCGGGTTGGGCAAAGTATTACCCGATTTATAAAAAAATCTCAGTAATAGCAGTCTGAAATTGTGCCCGGTATATGACAATAGGCTCACTTCTTATAGACTCATAACATAAATACTGAAAAGTGGGTGTTACATTGTACAGTAGCATTAAGTGCCGTAATGTGCACCTCTGCCTACCCCTTCGGGGATAAAAGGCGTGATGTTATGTTGTCTTAGGCCCATAAAATCGAATGTTACCTAGTAAATAATAGATGAAATGTAGTAGTGTTACTATTGTCTACATCTACAACGAATGTTTAGATATCTAATTCGCTGCGCGTGCGCTTACCTGCTTTTCTTTTAGCTCGCACGATCCGAAAGTGAGAGCGAGAAAATTGTAATCATCGTCCAACGCATGACTTTATGATCGCGATTATTACGTTAAGTTATATTTGAAATGATCGACTGTCGATCTGTTCGTTGCGGTTTCGGACCTCGAAAATTAAGTTACTCACGTGAATATACTGAGAAAAGCTCTACTAGTTTCGAACCACAGAGGGGTCTTCCTCATGAGCAGCGTGTGCAATCGTGGCGGCACGCAGCTCACTGACTTTTCTCAGTATATTCAAGTGAGCAACCCGCGATTTTAGTTAATTTTAAAACAAATATCTTCAGTCGTTTGATTTTTTCCTTCTTAGTGCCAATGTTAAATTAAACGATATTTAATTTTAAATTGTGCATACGTGTGAAGCGAACAGGAAAACATGTCATTTGGTAAAGGTTCACTTATTTAAGGAACATCTAAATATTATTTACCAGGTATCAGCCAGCTACAAATTTGATAACGAAACAATCGTTCTATAGGAGGAAACTATACTTTAAACTAACCTGTTCTTTTAGATATTAACCTTAAGTATTTTCCTTGTAAGTATATTAGTCTTAGCGCACGAAGCGCATCGGATCAGGCTTCCTTGAGCGTACTGCTCAGGGCCTCTAGCCAAACACCACTTTAGCGCTTGTCTACAGAGAGAGTAGAAATCAAAATGTATGGGGATGACACTGACAAGTGTCAAAATTTACGTCAATTCCATATAATTTGGTTTTCTACTCTACATGTAGACAAGCGCTAAATGGCGTTTGGCTACAGCTGAAGGAGTGGAATTCTTTGCCATAGTCTGTATTTCCTGAAGGGTAACCTGGGTTTCTTCAAGGCCCGAGTGAATAGGTTGCCTATGGGTCGACGTGCTCCATCGTAGACCACATCATCGTTTACCACCAGGCGATATAGTAAAACGTCAGTCTCATCTACTATATAAAAATAAGTCGTGTTTTCCTTTCTGACGCTATCACTCCAGAATGCACGAACCAATGTCCACAGTTTTGCATGCCTTGGAAATGTCTCGGGCTCCATGAGGTTTATAGCAAAGAAAATTCACTTTTAATCACCAAACCAAATGTTACATAAAATGAAGCCATCTGGTGGCGAAACAGAGTTCGCCGGGGTTGATGGTCTAATATATAAAAATATTTATATTCAAATCATTCTTGTCTAGGTGAATCTGACGTGGAATGACAACAGTACCCTCACGTTCTACAACCAGCGGTTCTGGCACTTCAAACCTGAAATGTCAGTTGGAACCATCAGTGATAATATCACCAGCATCAACCCTGTTATTGCGGTAAGTTTAACGTCACCATTTGTTTATTGACGGGATAACAAAACGGGACATATTTCAACGGGACAACGGGGTTCGTATTTAGATATAGTCAGGCATCTGGTAGCTACATCCTATTGTAGATCTTGTACACAAACTTTGCTCTCAATAAAAAGGTTAACATTACTAACTGCACAAAAAATGGAGGTACATAACGTTTTTTCGACGTTACTTCGTCAAAAATTAGTGTCTCAGGTAGGTATGCGAAAATAAGTATCATTTGATTGAAATTTTAACACTGCACAACAGAACAAATAAATGATTACAAATTGTACCTAAATCAAGTGTCGCATCAAACATTACACTTCGCCTCCACCCACCTCTCACACACCAGTCGAACCGTTCGAAAGGCCGTCCCGTCGTTCAACTAATCAAAATTTTCGCGCGGTTTTCAAAAACGTAACAATTTTGAGTTTTGGGGTTCATTTCGGGGACAATAAATAGAGACAGTCCTGTTAAATGGGACGTTTGGTCACGTTAGGTAAGTTGGCACTTCATCATTATCAGCATATCAGCCAAAAGACAAGATGTCAACTGCTGATTGACACAGTGGGTAAGCAACCGATTTTGCAGATTGCAATGATCAAAATCACGGTACATTGCGCTGCGGACGACGAGCATGGGTGGCTCGCCGCCCGACCAGAACCAGACCCGAGCGTACGGCACGTCGCGTTCCGCACGCGCCTCAAAGAGCCATTAAACCACCACGGATGGGGCCCAATAAGGCTGAAGCCGATACGGAGCCGCGGAGAACCTAACTGGTTATCGGGGCTCCGGCTCGAAGTGCATTAGTAGGAACGGGGTGGTTTTTAGTCAGTAAGAGTCTGACACTCCCCCTTAAAAAAAGTGTGGGATAAGTTTAAAAATATAGTTGTACAGTTGGCACATGTGGCTATTATCATGATTCTTTCTTTACACCGGGACAAACCTCGAAACTTGTCATACTGTACATTCCTCGTCAACTGATAAGAGATCTGAGAATGACCGATTGTATTATTTACACAGTGTGTGTACGAATGTTACAATGTAGACGGTGCTAAACAATAGAAAAACATAAATAATGTGACCTAAATACATATTTATTACTTCATCTTCTATTTAACAGCATGATTTAAAAATAGGATTCTAATGCTAAGTTAAGATTCCTTGACACTCGACGACATTTCCAGTTTCAGCTACCTATAATTAGTAACAGTACGGGTAAGGGCTAATTTAGGTGCCCCTTTCGCTAAGTAACTATTAGATAACACATGGTTTAGGTGTGGTTGGTAAAAACGGCCACTTAATCCTGTTATATCTAAATATTGTTAATTTATTTCATAGACGGTGGCATACCTGATGAGGAAGCAGCGGTTACCACTGAAGGTGTCCGTGGACTTGTTCCTGAGGATGTTCCATCCGCACATGTTCCAGACGGCCAACGTCACATCCTGGCTCTTTGATGGCATAGAGGATAGAGTCCTGGACATCGCGTTGAAGATCCCTGAACTTCCCTTCGACATTCCATATGATAAATTCGGATGGTTTTACGAGGTGAGTCGTAGATATTGACTGTTTACGTGTTTGTTTGTCTTATTACTACGTATGTTGCTTACCATCAAGCGATAGAACTTCGCGTTTGCACCCTGTCTCATAAAAAGGTCAATGTTCGGCTTACGGTATTAGTTGACGTCTTAACTCAACTAGTTTCGAGCCACGCCAGGGGCTCATAGTCATGAATAATATTATGTAACAAACGAAGTATCAAACAGTTGTCGACGTCGATCGATTACTCGTCGAATTGAATCCAAAATGAATCGTTGAATAATTAATAACATAACGGATAAAACTTGATTTTTTGCGTAAGGACAAAGTTGTGGTTAAACACTAGGTAAAGCGGTTTTATTTATTTCTAACTGTATATACTTTTGTTATCTCTGAGTTTTGACCTAATTGTTGCAGGATGTGTGATTCTTTTTGCAATAACAATATTGTTCATTAATTATCTGGGAGCAAAGTGCGGCCGTGACAAAATGATAGGTATTAGCAATTTGTTTGTCAGTGATTCATTTGAACTTTAGTCTGTTTTGTCTGTGGTCCACGTTTTGTAACTCTTGATTATTAATGGTCACGTTTCATTGATGATGGGTTTACTGTCTTTGTTGATGGATTTGAATATCTTAGAGCTGAGATGGTTTAGAAATAAAATCATTGCTTGCCTCTTGCACCTATGGTTTACTCTTCTCTGCATCACCCAAAGGTCACTGGTAGAAAATGCCTGGGGTGTGCCTATTGCCTTAAACCGGGCACAATTCCAGACTCCGTGCTACTACTGACATTTTTTTAAAAACCCAGTAATACTTTGCCCGACGCGGGAATCGAACCATCACTATGGGTGGGTAAAATAATATAATTTTATATGGAAAATAGAAACATAACGTAATGTGGTTAAATATTATTTTAGTGAATAATTTTGAATCTAGAAGTCGCCAACAGGTTTATTGATAGTAAAGACGTATTTGTTTATTTTATTGTTTACCGTCTTGATAAAATCTAGATTTCGACTTAGCCTTGAAATGAGATTGTGGCAACTTTTTTATTGACATTTTTATAAATAAACAATTAATGAAGTATCTAGGTAGCTAAATATTTTGTACGTGTCGAGAAGTGTGGGAATTAGATTATGTTAATTAAGTTTTATTACTTTTATCTAATAAGATAGAATACAATTGTTTAGATTTATTTATTTGCAATAAATGTAGGTACATATTATTATTGGGTGCGTACAGTATTGAAATATGTATCAGAGACATTGTAGAACATACTTTTTTAAAAAGAGTAACGAATGGAGTTTCTTACTCGCTCTTCTCCATTCGAATCTACTTTTTGGAATGAGCACCTAGCTTCACCTAGTTTCACTGACGGACTGACTGACAGACTATTATTTATTTTGTACTTGTTGACGTTTCAAAAGTATCAAACTATGGTTTAATTGAAATAAATGCTTTGACTTTTGACTTTTGGTGCATTATTCCGCAAATTAACTAAAAATCGCGGGTTACTTACGTGAAAATACCTAGAAAATCTCTACTGAGGGGTTGATGAGCAGCGTGCGCGTAGTCTACTCAGTAGGATGCGCGACATCGCCGCGACCATGAGGAATGACCAATGAGGAAGAACCCCTCTGTGTTTAGCATGTCTCACCATATTTATTATCAAAAATATTCGGTAACTTATTATAAACAAGTGGTGCATACTACCATAAGTAACACTTTTACTAAAAAGATAGATAACATTATTTACATCGAAAGCATGAATTAATGAAATGTATTGGTAGGCAAATTGATACATGACTTCAGTTAAGGATGCAGTTTGATAATTTGTTGTTTTTTTATATTTTGAGCATCGTTGGGGATTCGGGAATTGGGGAGATTGTAACCTCACTCACACGACGTGAAGCAACGCAAGCGTTGTTTCACGTCGGTTTTTTGCTCGGCTGTGGTATCACTCCGGTTAAGCCGGCCCATTCGTGCCGAAGCATGGGACTCTCACACTTAAAATGCATAAAGCATTAGAACTATAATTTTAGTAATGATCATACATTCACAAAACACGGTGTCAATGCTTAGTTTCTTGTTTAATCACTTTTTGTACTTCCAATAATTGCAAGTCTGCGCATATTAGTGTGCTGTGTATTAATATTTCAAAGGTCAAATAAGACGTTTATTTATGTATTTGTTTTTGTACATTATCGTTTCACGAAGGACTCATGTCTGCGGTTTTGTGTTACATTTTGTATGTAATTTTTATAGAAACTTTGCATTCAATTTGTTGTTAGATGCTTGTGGTTTATTTTCGTTGTGTTTCGATAGTTATACTGGTCATTTTAGATCTTATATATTTTTCCCAGAAGGTGGCATACAGAAGTTTAGAGTACCTAAACTAATGAGCTTACCTGTTAAGTAATTGCTACATTTTGCCTAATTTCTTTGACTAATTTAACGCCAATAATTTTTAGTTTTATATGCGTAAAAACAATAATTAATTGTTTTTTAACTCATCGAGTACCGGTTTTATAGACACAATTAAAGAACAATAGGTCGCGGTCACCGGTGACCGCTTGGTGTTTGACAGTTTAAACCCCACTTATACATATAAAGGAGGCCTCTACTAAGAGGCTAAGAAAGCAGTGTTACAACCTGTTGATGGTCTTTGGTTCTTTAGTCTTCATAAATATCTCTATTAACTCCTTTCTTTATGGGAGAAACCGGTAAACGCGCAGACGCATCACCTGATGGTAAGCAAACGTCGTCCATGGACACCCGCAATACTAGAGGAGTTACAAGCGATACCGGCTTTTTGGGGATTAGGAATTTGAGGATTGTTGCGGAGACTGGGGAAGTTGGATTAGAGGGGATAATTGTGCCTTTGGTAACGACACTCACACGACGAAACACAGCGCAAACTTTGTTCATGTCGGTTTTACTGCGAGGCCGTGATCACTCCGATCGAACCGGCCCATTCGTCCTACACTTGAACCTATGTATAAACAATTTGCCGACTCCGTTAATAGAGAAGCAATAGTTGTAACAAAAATGGCGCGTATTATTACAATAATATTTCACAACGTGAATTGCGCGGACATTACATAATGCAATGGATCGTCTGACCGACTTGTCAATGTCACGGCACAATGAACACGTTATACCAGCAGCTAATCAAGGTATACTAAGTTGTGTAATTCGTGTAATTGATTACCAACTTTATTTAGAAAAGTATAAAGTTGAAAGTCTAGTAATGATAGCAGGATTGGTAGTCTAATCTGGCAATTAAATTGATTATTTCCAATTATATTCATCATGATCAACATCCTATAAATGGCCGCTGCTGAGCAAAGCCTCTTCTCATACGAAGAAGGTTTGAGCATTAATCACCACGCTTGCTCAATGCGGGTTAGCGATTTCAAACTTTACTAAGAAAGCCCAGGTTTCCTCACGATGTTTTTACTTCACCGTTTGCCAATGGCGTCTAAATAATCTTAAAAAGTACCTACATATAACTCGGAAAAAGTCACATTGGTACTTGCCGTTGGTAGGTTTCGAATCCGCACTCTCGTTGCATGAGAAGCTAGCGTCTTAAACCTTCGGGCCACCACGACACACGAATTATATTGCCTACGTACAATGTCACATTGAAGGGGTAGACAGAGGATTTTTTGGACATATTTTTTTTTTATTGTTTAACTGTATAATGTTTTGGCTTGTGCTGTAAAATTATACATGTGTTTATAAATAAATAAATAAATGGACACATTGTCGGTGTAATTTCCACTTTATAGAAGGTGTCTTATGAGTTTCATATAGGAGGAGCCTATTGCCATAGACGGCGCAATTTCAGGCTCCTTACCATTACTGAACCAGTGAGGCAGTCATATCATATGAAGCCTTGAAAAATAAAGACTATGATAACTAAATAAAATGAAATAGAATTAGTCAATAGTTGCCATGGACACATTTAAAGTTGGATCTAATTTAAGGACTAATCTATCTGGGTTTTTCAAGAAATCAGGTACTTTATCACCTATTTAAGGTCATAGTAATTATTCTTATCTAGGATTTAATATTAATATCTATGTATCTAGGTAGGTAAATAGTTTTTAATGAACCTAGGTAACAAAGTATACTGATGTAAATGGAAACAATATTTATAATCTATTTTAAGCTTAGGGATTAGGATTTTTATCTCGTTAGTGATATAAATAGGATCAAAATTCAATATACTTATTAGGCTGCGCATGCGCATTGAGCATGATTTTGTTTTATCGTACCTATTTAAGGTATGTTAGACACTATGTCACGTAGTAAGCATTGCTGTGATTTTAATTTTGTTAAAATTTAACAAATATATATGACTATTAAAGTCGCAACTTTAGGACTTTTGATGTTCTTCGACATCCCAAATCCCAACATCAGCACAGTAACACTTCACTGCTAAATTTGGGTCTCTTCTCTCCTCTATATGAAAGAGTTTGCCATACTATACTATACACCCTGGGCAGGTGTGTTGGAGAACATAGGTGTCCTAACAGCATACATTTTTTTAAAACTTTATTGAGTTGTTTCACGAGAAAAAGATTGTTTACACATTTCAAATGGGAATAGCTAATATGCTGGCTAACATGATGTGCGTTTACGATGACTGTACTTCGTCTCTTGACTTGAAAAAGAAATGTTTTTCTTGTCTCCACAAATACAATATTAGTAGGAGCGTCCTAAAACAATGCACGCTAGCCGCTAGTCAATGATAGATTGCGTCACACAGAGTTACGATCGGCAGAATTCCTTCATGGATCGAACGAGCTACTTTCTCCATTGTGTAACCACTGACTTACTTAGAAATTAGGCTGGGAATATTACTAACTTAACCTTTTTTTACTAATGGCACATGATATGAAAACTGTGCGAGGAAACCGGGGCTTATAATTTTTTATTATAAGTTTGAAATCGTCAACCCGTATTGTGTAAGCGTGGTGATTAATGCTTAAATGTTTTCTGTATGAGAAGAGGCCTTTGGTTAGCAGTGGCCACTTGTAGGCTGCTAATGATGATGATAATGAAAGCTAAGTGTGGGAGAGCCATATTTCGGCATGAATAGGCCGGCTCGACCGGAGTGATACCACGGCCTCACAGAAAACCGACGTGAAACGCTTGCGTTGTGTTTCGTGGTGTGAGTGAGGTGGCCGGAGGCTCAAATACCCTCCCCTTCCCCAATCTTCCCAACTCCTAATCCCTAAAAGGCCGGTAACGCACTTGTAACGCCTCTGGTGTTCCAGGTGCCCATGGGCGACGCCGATTGCTTACCATCAGGTGATCTTTTACCGGCTTATGCCATAAAAAAAACTGTGATCTCTATACAGGGTTAGTTAAGATACATCTAGTTAGATAGTATCCAGTTTTATAGAATAGGGTAGTAAATGATCAGTCGAATCACCTGATGGTAAGCAAGCATTGACATCGCCTATGGACAACTGCAACTCTAGAGTAGTCACAAAAGCGTTACTAATGCTGACTCTTCGGAGAACGGGGTTTGTTTATTGGTGACTGGGAATAGGAGGGTGTTAGATAGGGGCTCCCGTAACCTAACACACGCGGTGGTCGCCGGCAGCGATGATACTTTGATTTACGTCGGTTTTCTTTGAGGCCGTGGTATCACTTCGTTCGAGCCGGCCCATTCGTGACAAAGCGTGGCTCTCCCAAACTCGTTCAAACTTGTCATTCATAACCTAAGTACATGAGAAGGTAGGTTTTTGTGTATGTTACCTTGGGTAGTATTGCACAACTTTCTCTTTCAGATGTAGCGTGCACAAGTTACACATTTATTAGTGTTTCATAATTTATGTCAAGTGCATAAGATCTATCTATGTATAAATCTGAGTGTACTGCGAATAATTTCTAAGTGTTGTATTTTTCAAAAGTGTAGATATTTCACATAGCCAATATATACATATAATTCTCGCTAAGATTATTTTGCTTTTTGCTTTACCAAGTGGAACTATCGAGTAATAATTTTTAGTTAATTATGTCTAATGATAGTCTTTTTAATGGCATAAGCCGGTAAACTAGCAGACGGATCACCTGGTGGTAAGCAATCGGCGTCGCCCATGGACACCTGGAATACCAAAGGCATTTCAAGTGCGTTACCGGGCTTTTGGGGATTAGGAGTTTGAGGATCGTTGGGGATTCAGGAATTGGGGAAGGGGAGGGTAATTGGGCCTCCGGTAACCTTACTCACACGACGAAACACAACGCAAGCGTTGCTTCACGTCGGTTTTCTGTGAGGCCGTGGTATCACTCCGGTCGAGCCGGCCCATTCGTGCCGAAGCATAGCTCTCTCACACTTATTAGTTATTATAAACATAATTTTTAGGTTCGATTCACGGCTTCGACAACTATTGTGATTTTTTTTTCATAATTCTAAGTAATAACAAGATGTTTAGAATTGTGATAATACCGAAGACAAAGATCATGCATTTAGCAATGGTCGAACAATATATACATATATGATGTACCAAACAACTACCGATGATATCATTCCTCATTGAATTGTTCATTTATTTAGACAACGACTGTTCACAATCAGGCAAATAGTAAACTATTCATACAATACCAACTTTAATAGGTACATTACGTCTTCTCTGTTTTTTTTTTTCAAACATTAACTAAGCAGTTCATAACGTAATGGTATGCTAGGGGATTTACGTTCAATCATGTGGTTTGCATGTCCAAATTAATATTATGTGCAAATAAGTAGAAACGTCAAGGAGTTAATACTCCTTGAATACTAGAACAGAATACTAGTGCTTAGGTGCAATATTTAAAGCAAAAATATTGTATAAAGTAGTGCATTGTATTGAAAGACAATGCTTATACATAACACTTCAATAACAACTACATTAAAATATAGTAGTTCATCATTAAAATATAAGTAGTATTAGTAACTTAAAAGTGGGTCCTCTTTTAAGCACTCGAAATCGACAAGCATGAAGGTATTGATGAATGTAGATGAAGCGAAAGAGATATGCCACAATCGTTAAGTGGATATATGGACATAACATAACATCACGTCATTTATACCCGAGGGGGTAGTGCACATGACGGCAATTTATGCCACTGTACAATGTAACACCCACTTTTCACTATTTATGTTATGAGTCCCATATAATAAGGGGTTAGCCTATTGCCATATACCGGGCACATTTCCAGGCTCCGTGCTACTACTGAGAATTTCTTTAAAAAACCCAGTAATACTTTGCCCGACCCGGGAATCGAACCCGAGACCGCTCGCACTTGCGGACACTCGGCCGACTAGCAGTCGCTTAAGTTTAAGATTAAGATTTTTTTTATAAAACTCTACTCTTAAGGACGTAATAACTACACAAATGTTAATGATACGATTGTTAGTAGGTAGGTATGTGACGCACACAATTATGTCCGAACTGCTGAGCTGATTATCATGTAAATCTGTTTTAATCAGCCACGTGAAACCTTTCATTAATTTTCCACGCCAGCTTATGTTTTGATAACAGATACATGATTATAAAATGGAGATAATTAATGTCGTATTACAACAGCTGACCCGATAATCGCCATTCATATTTTATACCATATTAAAGTTTACAAACTTTTACACGATTTAAAAAAAACTTTTTTCATTTTTCCTTTTGTCACTATAAAGTTATAAGGTCGACAAAACGATGTGTCTTCCCATACAGATGTCTTGGGATCAGACACTCTGTTGTCTAAAAAAAGCTGATCCCCTTGATCCACAATGACATAGCTACTTCTTCTCGATCGCTTGCTTCATTTCTGAAGGTCGTGCCCCTGAAAGGCTTTCATTGCTCTCTAAATTATTTCCCTCCATCTTGTCCTGTTTTCGGCTTCTTTCAGGGCTTTCGTAACAGAGAGTCCAGTGTAATTGGTAACTTGGTCACACCATCGGCTAGGTGATCGCCCACGTGGTTTTTTTAGTTCCACCTTACCAACAACAACCAATTTGTCGAGGTTATCTGACTGGCGGCGGGCAATGTGACCGAAATATCCAAGCATTCGCTGGTAACATACAGTCGACATTGCTACAATACAACCAAATCATAGCATCATCTAATTACTTTTACATTTAGGGTTGATTTATCAATCAACATACAATTCTTAATTGGGTACTTGCCAACTAGCCAAAATTCAATACTTTTTTCGAACAGTCAAAACAACAGTTTTCTATGAAATCATCGACGTCACGTTTTTTTTAGCGTTAAACAGCATACTTATTTCTTTAAAATTTACTGGAAAAATAGTAAAATTTCGTTGGTCATAGAATCAATTATTGAAATATGTGTGATAATTTTTTTTTATATTTTATTGTATGGAACAGTCGAAAGAAATTGTTTTTGATTACGGAAAGTACCGTATTTTCTGAATGTAGAATAAAATTGACAGTTTTCAGTTATTTCTTGGACAAATCGACTCTTATAATATTAGTTAGTTGGACTAATTTTCTTTTTCATTATTCCACAGCGCAACGGCTCCTTAGAATTCGACGGCTCATTCAACATCAATACTGGAGCCAGTGACTTCTCCCAGCTTGGCAACGTGCAGGAGTGGAGATACGCCAATAGGACGGACTACAGGGACGAATGTGGGGAAGTGAAGGGGTCTACAGGAGAGCTCTGGGCGCCAGAGTATGGACAGCCAGAGGTGAATGTGTTCGCTTCTGATATTTGCACGTGAGTGGAACATTTTTTATTATTTTTTATATTAAATATGGCTGTCGAGAAAGGAGTAATAATTCCCGAGTCCATTCAAGTGGTTTTAAGTGTGGACTCTCTATCTCTCTCTAAGCTTTTATTTCGAAAATAAGTATAAATAAATATATCGAGGGGTAACGGACTATTTGGTTTAAGCGACATTTTGGGCGATATTGAGTTATTATATATATTCGACGGAGAAAAATTCGCTGATTCCGAATATATATATAACTCAATATCAATTCAAACAACGCCTTTCTTCCATGGGAGGTAGGCAGAGACTGTGGAACGCAATACATACCTCCTTCGCTTTATCAACAGCCATCAATCTTTTCATGCATGCGCGTCGGTTAAGGGTACTTTTAATTTGGCCCTTCTTTAATATATCGCCAATCTGGTCAGTATGTGTCCAGACGGACACATACTGTTCAGTCTGTGTCCGGACGGACAGTAGAGGGCGCGCTAGACAGCGCGCCCTCTACTGGCCCCATTCATATCCGATCTGTATGCTTCTTTCGTTACTCTACTTTCATCCATCCTTTCTACATGTCCAAAGTTCCAAACCAGCTTAACATTCTCTTTTCAATCCTTGTCATTAATAAAAATATGAAACCTTGAAAGAAATTAATTGTCCGTGTTAATGCAATAACGATTACCTAATCAATGAAACATATTAATCCATTCAAGAACATATTGCTATAAGAAAATAATCAACGATTATCCGAACAAACATGTACCTAATTATCCTCACGTTCCTCTAAGAATTGATATCGGAATTTCGCCATTATCTCAACGAGATAAGGATGCATACTACACATCACCTCATACAATCGGATATAGAGTAGATCACATATGCATGTTGTTGTATGTAGGTTTGATAGAAATATTTGTTTTCCGATATCAAAACAAAACAATCATTCATTATTAGACACGGCTTTGTCTTTTGTATTGTATTTTTTTTAAACTTTAAACAATAACAGTGCCAAGATTTTGCTTGTTTTAGAATCTTTGCAATTGTAATAATTGATTTGTTAGTATGCATACCCATATTTACGAATTTTCAAAATTTCGTGCTATTATTTTTTATGGGATAAGCTGGCAAACGAGCACGCGGATCACCTGATGGAAAGCAATCGGCGCCGCCCATGGACACCTAAAATATCAGAAATGTTACAAGTGCGTTACCGGCTTTTGGGGGTTTGATGATTATTGGGTATTCAGGGGTTGGGGAGATTGGGAAGTGGGGTAGTTGGGCCTCCGGTAATCTCACTCACACAACAAAACACAGCGTAAGCGTTGTTTCACGTCGGTTTTCTACTCGGCCGTGGTACCACTCCGATCGAGCCAGCCCATTCATGCCGAAGCATGGCTCTCCGCACTTAAAATATCAATTATTTTATTCTAAAATTGTACTTGAAAATGTAAAGAAGATAGATTAAACAATATCTAACTACTAGCTACTTCCGCGCGGTTTCACTCGCTATGCTCGGCGCCTTTTAATCTTAGCATGATATTTTATAGCCTTATAGCCTTCCTCGATAAATGGGCTATCTAACACAGAAAGAATTTTTCAAATTGGACTAGTAGTTTCGGGGATTAGCGCGTTCAAACAAACAAACAAACTCTTCAGCTTTATAATATCATTGTATAGATTTAGTCAGATGCGCTACCTATATGCAAAACATAAAAAAAACACACATACCTAATATATATACAGCAATACCCGTATACTACGATAATACAGTACCGAATAGTGCTAGAGGCAGTACCGTTAAAATTCTACTCATTTCCAAAAACCAGTTGTAATGATGCGTGGCCTAAATTATGTGGTCAATGACCTTACAAATGCTTGAGATACAAACAAGTGACATAGCTTAAAATATAATGTTTAATGGAAGATGTATGATACTATATAGATGACTAGTGACAATGCAATAAATATGCATGTACTATCCATATAAGCCTTCCTTAAGACTCACTCTATCCTTTTTTTATGGCATAAGCCGGTAAACGAGCAGACGGATCACCTAATGGTAAGCGATCGGCGTCACTCATGGACACCTGGAACACCAGTATCTATTAAAAAAACCGCATCAAAATCCGTTGCGTAGTTTTAAAGATCTAAGCATACATAGGGACAGACAGACGGCCGATAGCGACTTTGTTTTATACTATGTAGTGAAGTAGTGGAAGAGTGGTCGCAAGTGTGACTGCCGTGCAAGGGGTCTCGGATTCGATTCCCGGGTCGGGCAAAGTATTACTGGGCTTTTATAAATTCTTAGTAGTAGCACGGAGTCTGGAACTGTGCCCGGTATATGGCAATAGGCTCACCCCCTATTACATGGGACTCATAACATAAATAGTGAAAAGTGGGTGTTACAATGTACAGTGGTATATTGTACACCTCTGCCTACCCCTTCGGGGATAAAAAGCGTGACGTTATGTTATTAATCAAATTAAAAATTACTTTGTAATAGGTTCTAATAACTACTTCTTGCCAAAGAGACTTAAAAAGGAAATAAGTCTAACTTATCATCTAGAACTTAATGTTTACGTTTACATCACAATATTTAACTGCGTTTATTTAATACTAGGCGTCATGATAAAAGTTCATCATCTTGTTACTTTGTCGCTAATTGAGTATGTTTATATTAACGTCAGCGATACAAAATGTAGGTCTTTGACATTTCTTTTCATTTCAAAATTATTCAATCGGTTCTTGTACTAATTAACTCGTCGAGTACCGGTTTTACAGACACAATTAAAGAACAATAGGTCGCGGTCACCGGTGACCGCTTGGTATTTGACAGTTTAAGTATTTATATGTTTTCTGAAAATAAATTGGTTTTTTTTTATACCCCGGCGCAAAAAAGCACACGGCCCACCTGATGGTAAGCGGTTACCGTGGCCTATGTACGCCTGCAACACTTGGGGCATTACATGCGTCTTGCCAACCCTTAAGAAACCTATTCACTGCCCTCTTGAAGAACCTCATGTTGTAGCCCACTGGGAAAACCACTGATGCTCTCGATTTAAAATCCTATCGAGCAGTTTTGGTAATTTTCCTTTGGTAACCTCAATCATCACAGCTAAACATTGTAATACTCCAGTTTTCTGTGAGGCCATGGAATGGGGATGATGACAGGGTATGAAAATTAAAAATATAATTAGTCCGTAAGTTAGGTAATGAAAAAATATTAGACACGTATTTTTTTATTTTGTCGTATAATAAAACAATACTTAGATAAAACGAATCAAAGTTTAGGAGTGGGGGCTAAAACGTCATTTCTTAGTATAAAATGTACTGAGAAGTGACGTCACGCGACATTTCAAATCATATCTTCGAAACTATTCGTTTCTGTGAGAAAAGAAAAAATACGTGTCTAATGTTTTTAAATAATCTATCAGACGGACATTAAAATAAAAATTAGTCGTCTACCCTAATGCACCTTCCATATACTTCCCTATACTTTAACTGCCTCGTTGGCCGAGTGACTGCCGGGCAAGGCATCTCGGGTTCAATTACCGGGTCCAGCAAAGTATTACTAGGGTTTTTAAACATTCGGAACGGAGCTTGGAATTGTGCCCGGTATATAGGAATAGGCTTACCCGCTATTACATGAGACTCGCACATTGTACAGTGGCATTGAGTGCCGTAATGTGCACCTCTGCCTACCCCTTCGGGGATAAAAGGCGTGATGTTATGTATGTATGTATGTATGTATGACGCCATTTTCCTGTGATACCGTGGTATCACTCCGGTTGGGCCGGTTGTCCTATGTGAAGCACTTTACCTATAATAAACTACATCAATTTCATTTCTGTTTCCAGGTACCTAACTCTTGGAAAAGACCGGGATGTGCAAGTAGAAGGTATAGATGGAGTGCAGTATGCAGCCAATGACTCAGTGTTTGACAACGGATACAAATACCCGAGGATGGTACGTATGTTTTATATATGATTGTGTTATTCATAAGTGATAAGAGATCTTTATTTAGCACTGGGAGTACAATAAACTATCAGTTTTTGTATATGGTACGTGTTTATGCGAGTTTAAAAACAAAGCAAATGATACAAGTGAAATTCGATCTTACAGCCTTTTGCGCTTCAGTAATCTGCTCACGTTACAATATGTACTTAAAAATCACGATGAAAATATCTAGTTTTTAAAATTTTAAGCACCCAGAATAGGGTGGTTTCCTAAATTTTATTTTAATGTCCGTCTGGTACAATTTATGGTCGGACGGTGGCCGGAGATCGTTTCAAGCCATGATAGAGGCTTAGAGGTATATTCATGTTCATGAGCAGCATTTCGCGACTCGCGACGCGGCGACTGTATAATAATTAATTTAGTATGTCTCACGAAAGTTACAAAATAAACAAGGTCTCGATTTAAAAAATGCGTTGATAGTATCTTTAAGCGCAAATAGCAGCGCACGCGCATTGCATTCACGTGACATGGCTTTGTTTATTTACATTTACCTTTGTAAAGATCTTAATCAAATACTTATGATATAATTGTAATTATACCGTTTGTGTTTCGTACCTACTTGCATATAATTAGCATTATTTCAAGACTTGTATCAAAATATAGGTTTTTATAACTCATTTTTTATGTTTAAATACCTATATTATTGTTATGTAGGTTACGGTATTATTTAACGGTACCTATCTAAAAGGTATTAATAATTTTTATATATACCATAACTTGAACTTGAACTTTAATTGGAAAAAAACTATCTTTTAAGCAGTATTAAATCTAGTTCTTTGGGGTCATCATCATCATATAGAAAAAAATCAGAAACCAAGTCGTAATAGGTAACCTATATTAAATTCGTAATCATAGACTGCCTTTGTACACAATTTAGGTAGATGCATTAAAGTTATTAATTTAACGAATAGAGAGACAGCAGCAATAGTTCTTTTCAGAGCTGTTTACTTCCACGTCAAAGAAAGAAAGAAAGAAAAATTTTATTTCACACGCTAAAACAGGTGACACGTACAGATTTTACATATAAGTTTATATAAGTACATCTACTAATGTCCCAAGTCTGCGGTGAAATGGGACCAGTTCAGCATGTGCAAGACAGGGCCTCGCGCTGGTATTCTACTGGCCCCTTAAGTGACTCGCGGACGAACAAGTCACCAATCAGACCAAAACACAAAATAAAATGCACAAAACAAAACAAATATATAACAACAAAAAAGGAAATTAAAAAAACGTGTAGTTGAATGCAACCTACCAATATCTATCTAAAAAAACTGCTGTCTCGAATAGAAGCTATAAAAACTTTGATATGTGTACAGTTCTGTACCTTTTTGCCTAAATAATATTTCTGTTTTTTCCAGGCATGTTACTGTGACGTAGTGCGAGACGAGGAGTGCCTGCCGGCCGGAGCCCTGAACGTGTCGGACTGTCGGTTCGGAGCCCCGGCCTTCGTGTCACTACCTCACTTCCTACACGCCGACCCTATCTATGCCAGCAAAATTGATGGCTTGAATGCTACTGAGTGAGTATTCAATTATTTTGGAAAATCTTTTTAATGAATCTGATTGCCTTGTTGGCCGAGTGGTCGTAAGTGCGACTGCCGGGCAAGGGGTCTCGGGTTCGATTCCCGGGTCGGGCAAAGTATTACTGGGTTTTTAAATATTCTCAGTAGTAGCACGGAGTCTGGAATTGTGCCCGGTATATGGCAATAGGCTAATAACATAAATAGTGAAAAGTAACATTGTACAGTGGTATAATATGCACCTCTGCCTACCCCTTCGGGGATAAAAGGCATGGTGTTATGTTATGTCTTTTTAATGAAAAAAGAAAAGTAATTGTATTTTGCTAGTCTAGTGGTTGCCAGTTAGGCAATGTTTTTTTTATGGAATAGGAGGGAAACCATGGACACCAACAACACCAGAGGAGTCACAGGTGCGTTGCCTATTAAAAAGGAATACGCTCTTTTCTTGAAGGTTTGAAGGTCGTATCGGTTCGGAAATACCGCCGACGATAGATCTTTCCACAGTTTTGCTGTGCGAGGCAGGAAACTACGGCCTGCCTGTTATGGCCTGCCAACTATCTATATGATAGGGATGTATATGCTGTCGTGAGGGTCGATGGTGTTAAATTATGTATTTCAATTAGACCAAAGAGCAACGTTTAATAGGCCAATAAAAAAGTAAAAAACCTCTGCTCTGGGCATCGGTCCAAAGTTGGACCATGAACAAGAAACCCCAAAGTTATACTTTAACAGTCAATTTAAAAATGTTGTTAAATAAAAATATTGCAATTTTACATTAAATTCAAAATTGCAACATCAATTTTTTTTCAATTTAACCAAAATTAATACTTATTACTAAGACCATAACGTGTGTTATTGCAGAGACATGAACTTCAGACTAGCGCTGGAGATGTTCACCGGCATGCCCCTGTCTGTAGCCGCGCAGTTACAGATCAACTTGCTTGTACGGAGAGTTAGTGGGATCACGTGAGTATTATTATTATTATTATTATGTATGTCTTTACCATTCACGGGACCACAGGGTCCCGGTCATTTGGGAGGCATACGAGGGGCCGAAGCCAACTGCGCAGAGGCCCTTTAGACAACTTTAATATAAATGTAATGGACACACAAACCGGCGACTATCCCTGTATGCACTATGGAAATGCACCCAAGGACAGTCCCCGGTTAGTGTAGGACTATTGTGAATAATGGAAAAAAAAGAACGTGGGGCTATGGATGGGTTGCTGTGGACTGGTAAATTGGGAACTATGGATGACTATGGCACCTGCCGAAACAATGTAATTTTTACACGTAAAAATGGCAGGCGGAGACTCGCCAACTCACTGACCGGGCCCCGGGAATGGTTGCTAGATATAGCAACAGAGGGGCAACGAGAATGTGAGTGGCTGAAGGGTTAAGAAACTACCACCGCTTTCTACTCAGATCATCTGCTCCAGCCGAAGCCTCCTGCATCCCTGGCCCACTCGCGACTTACGAATAGTTTCTTACCCTCCGAGCAGGATTACTGCTCTCGCGACTCCACTCTGGACGGCCAATGAAGGCAAGCCAGAGGTGGGAGACCTGTTCCTTGTCATCTTTCACTCCAGCCAGCCAATTAAGGCAAGCCGGAGAAGAAGGAACGGTGACTTCTCCCTGGAGCACTCGGGATGATGGTAGCCCGCGGGATCGCTAATGCCCGTCACCTCGCCTCAAGGTGCCCTGCGGGCTTATTATTATTATTATTATTATTATTCAAGTATTTTTGTCAGTTTTGTGTACGGTGTGGCAAAAGCGCTCCTTTTTGTATAATAACTACTATACTTTAAGTGTGGGAGAGCCATGCTTCGGCACGAATGGGCCGGCTCGACCGGAGTGATACCACCAACGAGCAGAAAACCGACATGTAGCAACGCTTGCGTTGTGTTTCGTCGTGTAAGTGAGGTTACCGGAGGCCCAGTTCCCTCCCCCCTTCCCCAATCTCCCCAATCCCCGTATCCCCAACGGTCCTCAAACTCCTAATCCCCAAAAGGCCGGTAACGCACTTGTAACACCTCTGGTGTTCCCGGTGTCCATGGGCGACGCTTACCATCAGGTGGTCCGTCTGCTCGTTTACGGCATATGCCATAAAAAAACATACTAAATTAATTGAAATGTACGGTTCAATTTTCGACGAAGCTCGAGTTATTTCAAGCCTCATCGGGGCTAAAAACCACCCTGTTTCTACTTCTGATCCAAGCCGAAGTCGCCGTTTAATTGAACTCTACGGTTTTCCGTAGTCCCTTAAGTGCCTATCCTTTTGGTAGTCGCGGAGAACCTAACGGGTAACCGGGGCTCCGGCTCGACGTGCAGGAGAAGGAACGGGGTGGTTTTTAGTCAGTAAGAGTCTGACACTCCCTCCCGCCTCACCCTGGCGGGAGCAGTCATTCGATGATTTTCCCCCCTTAAAAAAAATCCTTTTGGTAATTAAACTGACGTTTCACGAACATTCGCAGTATAAACAACGCGTTGCCGGACCCGGACACGATGGTGCCGATGTTCCGGTTCCGGCAGGAGACGGCCGTGACGCCGGAGTACGCCGCCATGGCTCGCTCCGCGCTGCGCCTGCGCTACTGGGTGCCGTACGGGCTCTACGGACTCACTGTAAGTACTGTTTGTCATCTTATATTCATCAACAACCTATAAATGCCCACTGCTGAGCAAAGCCTCTTCTCACACGGAGAAGGCTTGAGCATTAATCACCATGCTTGCTCAATGCGGGTTGGCGATTCCAAACTTATAATTAGAAATTGTAAGTCCATGTTTCCTCACGATGTTTTCCTTCACCGTTTGTTAGTGGTATCTAAATAATCTTAGAAAGTACATATAACTCGCAAAAAGCTACTTTATTAGTACTTGCTGCACCCTCATGCATGAGAAGCCGTCTTCGGGCCACCACGACATGCTTACATCTTATATTATTATTTGTTTTTATTTTGCATAATGGCTTATGCACAAAATACCTTAGATAATCGTTGAAGCACCAAAACCTCTGTGGACGCGCGACTTAGAATTAAGTGGCGTTTCAATATTCGAGTATGTGTTTACCGGAGGCCCAATTTCACCCTCCCCTAATCCCTAAATCCCATATATCCTCAAATTCCTCATCCCCAAAAGGCCGGTAACGCACTTGTAACGCCTCTGGTGTTCCAGGTGTCCATGGGCGACGCCGATTGCTTACCATCAGGCGATCCGTCTGCTCGTTTACCGTTACCGGCTTATCCCATAAAAATGTCTCCGCCATTGTTTCAACGTCCTTGTGTACCAGCCCATTATGTTTAAATTTCCAAAACACAAATTCACTTCAGCATTCCATTGAACTCCTGTGTCTTTGTTTGCAGGCAATCGGAGTAGCGCTACTAGTAGGAGGTATCACTGTATTAGTAAGAAAACTAATGAAATCCCCCGACACTGCGCCGCTCATAACCTCAGAGAGTTCACGCCCCACTGAAAGTCTAGAATCCTAGTGACACACAAACAGATAAACAGTGATAGTGAATGTATTAAGTAAGTGAAACTAGTGATTATTTTGTACGGACTGAAAGTCGCATGATTTTATATGTATGTTTGTAGAAAATCTCACCTTAATGCGGATTTTTAGAGAAATGATGCTGTCATACTAAAATGTTCTTGGTGGCTCTAACTCGATGACAGCGCCATCTATGTGAGGTTATTGTTCTTGGTTTTTGTATGTAAAACAAATGAATAGAATAACTTTTATCTGTTTTGGCTTGCAGTGCCATTTAAAAGTCGATACTGAAAAATCGATTCTGAATACAATCGGAAATAATAGAATCGATTATTAAAATCCTCCTCCTTTTACGAAGTAGGTAAATATAATAATAATAAGGCAAATATTGCTTAAAAATGACTTAACCATAATAATTTAAGCTTTAAACTAGAATTATGAGCTTCCTAACATCTTGTACTGCCATAAAAAAGTTCCAGATGCATACAGGGTGTGCAAAACTGAAATTATTAAAACACTCTATAATATTGACACTTTCAGAGCTAGCTCGTATTTTTTGTATGTAAGTGCCTTGAAATGCTGAAAGCTGTAATTTTCCTTGTAAACTATAAATGTATTGTAAATAAAAAACGGCTGTAAGTAAATGAAACTGTTTTAGTAACACGCTGTATATGTGCTATGTATTCTTCCAATTTAGTTTATATTGTACTTAGTTTTTATATGGTATATTGTTTGTATTAAAATATTTTTTTTTATACATTGTAAATATAAAAATGTTAAATGAAATGAAATTTCTTGTGTACCTACTAAAACAAATCACGTCGATCGTTTTTTTATACAGTTAAATATGATCATGTTAAATGAATTAAATAAAATCGCGGGTTACCTACTCACGTGAATATACATACTGAGGAAAGCTCTATTAGTTTCGAAACACAGAGGGGTGGGCGACGTCGCACGCTGCTCATGAGGAAGAACCCCTCTGTGGTTCAAAACTAGTAGAGCTTTTCTCAGTATATTCACGTGAGTAACTTGCAATTTTACCTTATGTTAAATGAAATTTTATTTGGTGGTAGCAAAGCTTCCTATTAACTAAGATTGCTATTTGATTCCTGAGTTAGACAAAGTTTGTAGTAACGAGTCTATATAGCTTCTTTTGAGCATAGTCACGGACTCGCAATATTAAGATAGATATGGCAATCCCACTGCAGGGGCAAAAGCCTTCCTACCCTCCTTCCACTTGTCTCTTCTTAAAGCTGTCTGTGGCCAATCCTTTTCATAGGCGTCTAGTTCATCCCGCCATCTTCTTTATCATCTTCTCCTGTAGTGGGACGACCGTGGCTAAAAATAAATAAATATGGCAGTATGTCTTACATTTCTGCTTATCCTTTCGACTTTTAAGCAACTATTACGTTATTTATTTGTAATACACTAATATGCCAATAAATCTACCTGATATAATTTTTATGTTTATTATAAGTAGATTTTTTTAGTGCTGGCAATACATCAAAATCAAAGTATGGGGTTGCATGTTAATAAAAGTGAGACTGCGTGTTGCGAAAAAATAATTAAGATAATTATACCTAATTCGTAAGCTAAGTATGTTTTTATTTTGTGTATTATTTAATATAATTAAAAATAATTTGTATCTAAATATATATTGTGTAACAATATTATGTACTTACTTATTTACTATGTATTTATGTATTTTATAATCTATACATATATTGTTATTAAAGTTTTGTATGTTTATATTTATAAAATAAATATTTAACACATTTATGTTGAATGAAACTATATTTTTTAATCTTTTCGACCCTAATCATGATCTTAAACCTGAAAGTGACTCGAGGGTACGGGTAGGGTCCAACAGGGCCGATGCCGATTCAGAGTCGCGGAGAGCGTAACCTAACGGGTAACCGGGGCTCCGGCTCGACGTGCAGGAGAAGGAACGGGGTGGTTTTTAGTCAGTAAGAGTCTGACACTCCCTCCCGCCTCACCCAGGCGGGATCAGTCATTCCCCCTCATTTTCCCTCCTTAAAAAACCTGAAAGTAATATAATGTAATTGCCCAAAGTAAATCATTGGCTATTTAAATATATGTATTCTATATGCGGGTATAGATTTTTATTTTATTCAACAAAATTTGACACCACCAATTTGATATTGCTTTTTATTTATTAGTTTCTGCTAACTACAAAATAAATATATTTTTAATTATTATGTTTTCGTTTTACCCACGTAATTAATTGACGAGGAACCCGACTAGTTTCAAGCCATTCTAGGGACTCGGACTAGTCGAGTTCCTTGTCTAATAGTTACGTTAACCCTACAAAAGTAGTCTCTAAACATTGGAAATAAGGTCTATAATGTAGTTAGTGGAGAGCGGTCACCGGTGACCGCTTGGGGATTTGGGGGTAAACCAAAAACATAATAATTAATGTAGTATGTCTCATGAAAGTTTAGAAATAAAAAAATATAATAATATGTTTGTTTGCAATTCTTATTTTATTTGTAATGCATTCAGGTTAGTCCAGTACTCCAAAGTAATATTACCTCACTAAAAAACAGGGTATACAAGTCAAATTACGTTACCAACTTAACTTACTTATAGTAAACAACTGGCTGCTGCGCTACGTGTCGCGGGTTCGATTCCCGCACGGAACAACTCTTTGTGTGATCCACAGTTTGTTGTTTCTGGTCTGGGTGTCATGTGTATGTGAACTTGTATGTTTGTAAACGCACTCACGACGCAGGAGAAAATACTACTTTGGGGCAAAGTTTTTTTTTTAAAGTGAAATCATGTTTATTTTGCAAAATAAGTAATATGAACTATTAACTAAAAATCGCGGGTTACTCACGTGAATATACGGAGAAAAGCTATACTAGTTTCGTTATGAGCAGCGTGCGCGGTCGCGGCGATATCGCGCAGCCTACATGTATCAGTATATTCACGTGAGTAACCCGCGATTTTTAGTTAATTTAGTATATCTCACGATAGTTATTAAAAATATGAACTATTGTTTTTTTTTGTAATTCCATATGTTCTTTTTTATTTACCTTATTTGTAAGTAATATGATGTATTTAAGTAGATTGTCTTATGGAACCCTGTGAATTAGTTTCTGTCTTTTGCTTTATAAAGGTCCGGAAAATAATAATAATAATACTCACGTAACTTTTAGACGAGTAATTCGGGCTCGCACCGCCATAGCGTCGAGCAGCAGCGCGACAGTCGCCGCGTCGCGGGTCGCGGAATGTTGCTCATTAATATGAGCCTCTAGCATGGCTTGAAACTAGTCGAGTTCCTCGTCAAACGGTTACGTGAGTAAGCCGAAAACTAATTTAGTATGTCTCACAAAAGTTTTAAAATATAAAATATAATGAATGTATTTAATAAAAATAATGTTTGTTATATCGAAATTCTTACCATTTTTGTACATTTTTATAATAATACTAAATAAGTTCGGATGAAATGTTTGAATCAGAGTTTTAATGTAATAAATAAGTGATATTTTTACATTAATAGGTAATAAATAAAATAAGCGATTTATGCGCAACTTAGGTACAGACGGACAACAATAATCTATATTACTTAGGTACACTTTGTTATACTGTTATCTCCTAATTAATTAATGAACAAAATGCCGTTGAAACTTTTAAACAATTTAATAAACGTTTTTCAAAAAAATGTTCAAGTGGTTTTTTTCTTTTTAATTCCTTTTAACACGACCTTTTTCTATACTCAGTTAAGCGAAGTATCATGAGGTAATTTTCAGTACTAGCCTCGTTTTCGGTTCACGGTTCACCTTTTAATACATGATACTTAGGTAGAATGAAAAAAATGATGTTCATAATTATTTAATTAAACATACACATTTGATTATGTCTACAAAGCTTCATTTTTATATAAAAGTTTTTTTATTAATGGGAAAAGCCCGTGACAATCTCTCAAAACCGCTGCAACTCCTGTAAGCCAGGATCTACAGTAGATACAACCATGAAAACACCAGAACACCAAAGTCTACTGCGTCTCAAGGACATGAGTAACTGTCTTGGTTTCCGCAACGAAATAAATCAGAAGATATTTTTGGCTAAGTTTATTCAGTTTTTTTTTACATTTATTTATTTATTTGATACTCGAATTACTTTACGAAAACAAATTGGATTGCTATGGATATAGACTGTCTGGGAATTAAGAGGAGAAGAAAAACGATAATTTCCAGTTTCCTCGTCGAAAGGTTCATTATATGTAATTTGCAAAGCTAAGATCCCTAATCTCACACAATAAAAGTCGCAGGGAGATGTAGGTCGGTTCCAGCAGCTCCCGGCGAAAGTCGTTGCGGGAGATCTTTCTGCGGTGGGCGTCTTGCTTGTTGCTCATGTAATGGTGAAAAAACTATACATTCTTTGGATACCTGTAGCTATATTTATAGTTTCGAGCAGACGGATCACTTGATAGTAAGCGATCAGCGCCGCCCATGGACACCCGCAACACCAGAGGAGTCACAGGTGCGTTGCCGGCCTTTTAAAAAGGAATACGCTCTTTTCTTGAAGGTTTGAAAGTCGTATCGGTTCGGAAATACCGCCGACGACAGATCATTCCACAGTTTTGCTGTGCGAGGCAGAAAGCTACGAGAGAAGCGCACAGTTTTGGCCTGCCTACTATCTATATGGTGAGGATGCATATTCTGTCGTGAGGGTTATAGTACATTATTTATCGCTAGATAAGTGTAATGGCGCTTCAGATTTATATCAAAGTATATCAATTATCGGAACATGCATTATCAAGCCAGTCTTTATCACACATTGAACAAATTGCGAATGTTCGTAGGTACCTATTATCTTTGCGATAACTTTGATAACCTTAATAAGGTTTAATTGATAGTCAATCTGAGTTCTTATATTATATTAATATTAAACCTTTTTTTATAATTATTATGAGACGTTCTATATTAATAAACTCATGTGAATCACTGCACAAAAACTATTCGATGTTCA